CATCACCAACAACAATCATGACAACCACACTCGAGTCTAGTTAAGGGCTATCTGAAGAGAGCTGGACAGAATTCCCTCAGACAACCTTTTTCTTAGACCAGCCTCGTATGGTCAACCGAACGTCCAATGATAATGCTGTATCATCAACCCGAAAGCTGAGCGCAGCGCAGCTGTACTTCTTCAGCGTCACACGTTGTGAAAAACATCAAGACGATACCACGTCAAGAGTGTCAAACGTCTGTCCAAACTCCCCAGTTAGTAGAGCGCTCACCATCTGTAGACATTGTACCTTATACTTACTGTTGTAAATCAATGATCTGGTAAAAGCCAATCATCCAAGACAGTGACCATCCAAGGCAAGTTGACCAAACCTGCCTTGTTTTGCCGCTGCTCAAGAGTCTTCACGTATCCCCAGTAGTGATGCTGTACTAGGCAGTGTACCCTAAGATGTGTCCAGGTGATAACCTTGAAGGTAGAGAGACTCCAACAGGGCCATCAGCCTTTGTTCCCATCTTTGGGGATTTGTGGGAATTTGTGGGAAAGAGTGAAAGGAGTTGAAGAACAATTTTTGAGGATTCAGAGCTAATTAAATATTCAAGACAGCGCTTTTGTGCGCTTTACGTTTAAGTGTGTTGTCTTGATGGTAACCGTGGTTTTGTGAAATATGCAACGCACTCTTCTGCATGAAGGCAGAATGCACGAGTTTGAGTTAAATTGTACTGGGGATATAGCTGTTCTCCATACAATCTGTCTCTCTGTATACTGGAATATAGTCAATTTTTAGCTTACTTCATGCGTCTGATCATGCACTTCATCATGTATATCTTCTTTTGTTCCATACTAAACCAGCCTTTGTGCCACATGCAATTGGTTTGGTGCGTGCAGAGAGTTTCGACTTACATAGCTTAAGGTTACGTTATAGATAATTACCACGCATCAAATAGACCACCTGTTGCTTATTGTACACTATGACGTTTGTGGTGAGGTCCTCGTTGGGTTTGTTGAGAAGGCTCTTGTTATTGAGATAGAAGGTTGATAAAGAATGACACTGTCGATTGACCGTAGCCGATCGACACGCTGGTCAGACACGAAGTTCGCACCTCTTTGAAGTTCTGGGAAGAATCAA